ATTTCAGCACTTCCTCTTTGTTACGTTCCCCTTGATCCTGCCCTACCAGGTCTCCCACACCCACCTCCCCACCAATTTGGATCGCTTGTTCTTCCCTTGTCCCTGGGTTTGTTGATATAGGCCTTCTTATGATAACTTAAAAAAATTATAAGCACAGATGTGTTAAGTATTACAAGAACTATTATATATCGTTTCAAATATAATGCAATAAAGTCAAGTGGAACTTAAAATGTTTTAATATGAAAAAAAACAACAACACACAAATGGGCTACACCACTGCAAGGAATGTTTGATCCAGTTAATAAAATTATGCTAAGAGTCACCGGGTTTAATATGAACAAAAGAGAACAACTGGAAAAGGTTATGCTTCTGGTTATTCTTAGCTTCTAAGTAGTTCCTTACGTCATGCTTTTCACCACGACCAGACATATCAGATGAAGAACTGATTAGGCTTGGGTCTGAGATGCCAGACTCAACCTCAGTTATTAAAGTCAAACACTTCGGAAATGCATGTTTTTAAAACCTAGGTTACAAATGAGTACAAAATCAAGGTACAATCTTTAGGTAAAGTAATAAAAATGAATATTTATCCTGAATCTTGAAACAGGAAGTAAAGGGTTGTTTTCTACCTATCATGAACGCTATACATTTAAATAGAAATTTCTCTTCCTAGAGAGTTCCCATATTCAAGGTTTTACTTTAAGAAACATCAAAATAAGCAAAACATAATCTTCACTTTGGCTATACTTACGTTTTTGCACTTGCTTCAAGGAACAATAAGCCTGAAAATAAAATCCACACTATGATTAGGACATTTCCAATCAACATATAATAAGGGCAAGGTCTCCAGTAACATCTGAATAAAAGTTTCCCATACACTTTAATATACCTACCAATATTTAGTGAGTACACTGAGTTTGAGATAGAATCCTTACATTTCTCATTAAGTACTTGTAGAACCCACAATAAATTTCAAATGGCAACATTTTATTATTAAAAAACCAAAACATCAAATAAGCTATACAATAAAAATTCTACCTTTCCTTAGAAATTCATCCAGATGTGACCACCACCCCTCCAAAAACCCCAGAAAACAACTGAAAGTCTTAAAAAAGAAAACCCACCATTTTCTTCAGCAAACTGTTTGGCTTCTTCATATGTAACATCTCTCTGTGCCTCCAAATCTGCTTTATTTCCTATGAGAATTATTACCTAATTTGTGACCAAAAGAAAAGATGTCTTAAAACAAAAGCAATTATTTAAATGAATGCACTTTTCCTTTTTAAAACTTCTTCACAATAAGCCAACATGATCACCCTGTGTCCTTTGAGAAAATCTATCCAACTACAATCTTTTGGCGTTGCAAAAATGTTGCCCTAACCCTCAGGGCCGATCTCTCTGCCTTTAATTTACTGGCCCAGCAGATCCCTCAAAAGCCACTGTCCTAAATGAACTTTTTTGGAAGGCATCCAAACAAAATCAAGGCAAATAGATTACTGAGAGAACTTGCCTGTAGCCATCCATTGATCGAATATTGTCTGGAATAAAGCTATGAACGTATGAACTGAAACCCAATACTTTTTTACTTTCCCTGTTTATAGGTGTATGCAAATGTCTATCTATTCATATAGAGTAGAAATATGGGAATACACTTACTTAGCCAAATAGCCAAATAGATGGGATTGGATTTCTAGTTTTGAATGATTAGGATCATAATCTTATGGGATATCTCAGTGCCTCTACTTAGAACAAGAGAGAAAACCAGAGACCAAAGATTCAAAGGAGAAACTATGATAGGACAAACAGTCTGGCTCCTGACTACTACTACTGACTATTCTAATCAAAGCCACAATAAAGACTGAGAGAATGGGAGAAAATGTGGAACAGCACCTCACATTTCTAAATAAAGAAAAATGTAAACCTACTCCCTAAGAACCATGAGGTCACCTTGTAGCTAAATAATAAATCAGTGTTAAGAAACCAAGAAGTCCAGCCAAAAATGGGCAAAGGTATGAACCAAAGGACACATTTAGGTGGCTAACAAACACACAGAGATGTTCACAACCATTAGCCATTGGAGAGATGCACATCAAAATCACAGTGAAATACCATCTCACCCCTGCAAAATAGCACTGATTAAAAAAAAAAATGTAGGGGAGAATAGCGATCCTATAGTACTGGTTGGATTGTAAAATGGTTTAACCACTATGGTAAACAGTATGGCACTTCCTCAGAAAACTGCCCGTAGAAATATATGATCCAGCAATTTCACTCCCAGGTGTGTATCCTAGAGAAATAAGATGAATGACACAGACATATGCACACTTACATTCACTACAGACTTGTTCTAAGTAGCAAAAAGATGGATGAATGGATAAAATGGGGCACATACATATAATGGAATGTACACAGCGATAAAGACTGATGAGTCTGCAAAACAATATGGATGAACCTGGAGAATATGCTGAGTGAAATAATCAATCACAAAAGGACAAATACAATATATCACCTTCACACAAAGAAAAGTTTGGCAGCAAAGTTCTTTGACGGTTACCAGACACGGAGGCAGAGGAGGAAGAGTCACTTACTAGGTAACAAGCACAGGTTCGTTCTGGTGAAGGGAAAGGCGACACCCAGGATGAGGGAAGTCAGCACAAGACCAACGTAAACGAAAATGCCGAGAGGTGTGCACCACTAAAGGTCAACTGTAACACACGCTTCATATAAACAATTCTTCAATAGTAGTAACAACCAAAACTTTGTGAGTAGTTCCATAAGTCAATGTGTAAGCTATTCACGGGGGCAGGGTGTGTTTGTTTGCACCAGTGCACGGACTAGGGAGTGTGTGTGTGTGTGTGTGTGTGTGGGGGGATGGGACATATAGGAATCATGTATATATATGTACAGGTATAGCTGTGTGTATGTGCTATTTATATATCCATGTACATAAGTAAGTGCATACATGGGGCCCAGTTATGGAAACTTCCTACTAGACATCCAAATGTCTCTTGGAACACAGTTACTGGGTTTGAAAGCTCAGGATCACAGTCTCAGGTGCATCTGTGTCAATTGGCACACTATGCTTCATAATGATAATGTCCTCTATCCTCGTTGGTGAGTACTCTGGGGCCTTAAACGGGTTTAAGCGACCAATTAGTGTGGAACTACTGCTCTATTCCTGTCTAGAGCACGGGAAAGTGAAGGAACCCAAAGATTCAAACTAATGGCCCAAAGAACCACATCTGTGTCTAGCCAGAAACTCAAAGAACTCAACGATGTCCGACTACCACGACCAACTGCTCTGACCATGGATACAAAAAAAGGTCTCCATTAGAGTGGGGCAAAATGTAGAACAGAACTGAAATTCTTACAAAAAAAAAAAAAAGAAAAAGAGCACTCTTACTGGAGTGATCAAGCGTGGAAGAAGCCACAGAGACTCCCTAAGAGAACCTTTTAACTTGGTTCTGAAGCCATTCCTAGAGATCGCCTCTCAGTCAACTAAGAGTTGCCTACAAAATAAATAGTAACCCTGCTCCTCAGAATAATTAACTCTACAAGAGCAAATGGACACCAGTTCCTAAAGCAAAGATGAAACGGTAAAGCAGGGAGAGAACTGGAGGAACAGAAGCATGAAAGGCAGAGTAGAAATGGGGGAGTACCAACTCATTTCCGGGACAGCAATCAATGCTATAGGACCGTGAGTATGAGCTGTTCAATGGGAAACTAATTTGCTGTGTGGACAAAACACAGTAAATGTTCTCAAAAAAAAATTAACATCACCTATAAATATTATGCTCCTACAAAATCAACTATACAAAACCATGTACAGTGAACCCTCGTTTATCGCGGTTAATCGGTTCTAGACCCTACCGTGATAAATGAAATTCCGCAAAGTAGGATTCCTTATTTGTAAATCAAATATTTTCGTAGTTAGAGCATAGAGGACATGAAAAAACACCCTTTAGTCACCATTAC